TTCAGTGTTTTTAGTGTTTAGTGTTTAGTGTTTTATTAGAATTTGTAGGCCGCCCTTTTCCCTGAGGGGACTCAGGGCGGCTCACATAAAACTGGGAAAGGGGGGAATACAAACAACAGATAGAGACATATAATAAAATGGTAAGCAACATACATTCATCATTCGGGAGGGGTAACTATCCTTATCCCCAGGCCTGACGGGCGAGCCAGTTCTTCAAGGCTATGCGGAAGGCTTGGACGGTGGAGAGGGTACGAATCTCTACAGGGAGCTCGTTCCAAAGGGCCGGGGCTACTGCTGAGAAGGCCCTCCTCCTTGTGGTTGCCAGCCGACACTGGCTGGCCGATGGAATGCGGAGGAGGCCTAATCTATGGGATCTTATCGGTCGCAGGGATGTAATTGGCAGAAGGCGGTCTCTCAAGTATCCAGATCCACTGCCATGCAGGGCTTTATGGGTGATTAATAGCACCTTGAAGCGCATCCGGAGATCGACAGGCAGCCAGCGCAGCTCGCGGAGGATAGGTGTTATGCGGGTGAATCGAGGTGCACCCGCAATCACTCGCGCGGCTGCGTTCTGCACTAGCTGAAGTCGCCGGATGCTCTTCAAGGGCAGCCCCATGTAGAGCACATTGCAGTATTCCAGCCTAGAGATCACAAGGGCCCGAGTGACTGTTGTGAGAGCCTCCCGATTCAGGTAGGGGCGCAACTGGCGCACCAGGCGAACCTGGGCGAATGCCCCCCTGGTCACAGCCGTTAGATGGTGGTCGAATGACAGCTGCGGATCCAGGAGGACTCCCAAGTTGCGCACCCTCTCTGAGGGGTATAGAATTTGACCCCCCAGCCTGAGAGATGGAATATTAATCAGATCTTTGGGAGGAAAACACAACAGCCACTCGGTCTTTTCTGGGTTGAGCACAAGCTTGTTAACCCTCATCCAGTCCATAACGGCCTCAAGACCCCGGCCCATCACATCTACCGCTTCATTGAGTTGGCACGGGGCGGACAGATACAGTTGAGTATCGTCCGCATATTGATGGTATCTAATCCCGTGCCTGCGGATGATCTCTCCCAGCGGTTTCATGTAGATGTTGAATAGTAGGGGGGATAAGACCGAACCCTGAGGCACCCCATAATTTAGGGGCCTAGGGGACGATCTCTGCCCCCCCACTAACACCGACTGCGACCTGTCCGAGAGGTAGGAGGAGAACCACCGTAGCACGGTGCCTCCCACTCCCACCTCCCGCAGTCGTCGCAGAAGGATACCATGGTCGATGGTATCGAAAGCCGCTGAGAGGTCAAGGAGGCCAGGATGGAGGGATATCCTTCATCTCTGGCTCTCCAGAGATCATCAATCAATGCGACCAAAGCGGTTTCTGTGCTGTAACCGGGTCTGAAGCCTGACTGGAAGGGGTCTAGGTAGTTTGCTTCCTCCAAGGACCGTTGGAGCTGGAAGGCCACCACCTTCTCAACAACCTTCCCCAAGAAGGGGAGGTTGGAGACAGGGCGATAGCTATTAAGGACAGCTGGATCCAAGGATGGTTTCTTCAGGAGGGGTCTCACCACCGCCGCTTTCAGTGCGGCGGGGAAGTTCCCCTCCCGAAGGGAGGCGGTCACGACCGCCTGGATCCAGCCTCGTGTCACCTCACTGCAGTTCGTAACCAGCCATGAGGGACACGGATCCAGAGCACAGGTGGAGGTACTTACAGCTCTCATGGCCTTGTCCACATCCCCGGGGGTAACGTCCTGAAACTCAACCCAGAGCTGTTCTACTTGGTCCCCCTGTGTCTCGGCTGGAACTGCGGGGGTGGAGTCCAAGTCCGACCGAAACCGAGCAATTTTGTCCGCTAAGAATTGGGCATACTCTTCAGCTCTGCCCTGCAAGGGTTCCCCCGCCTCCCTTTTATTCAATAGGGAGCGGGTTATCCTAAACAGGGCGGCTGGACGGGACTCAGCGGATGCAACCAGGGTGGCTATATGAGATCTTTTTGCTGCCCTAAGTGCCCTGGTGTATTCCCTGGTGCAGGTGGTTACCATTGCTCGGTTCGATTCGGACTTATCGGACCTCCAACGGTGCTCTAGGCATCTCCTCCGGCGCTTCATCTCCCGGAGTTCCTCGGTGAACCAAGGAGGTCTCCGGGATCCGCTGCCTCGGAGGAGCCGCAGTGGCGCAATCCGGTCGAGGGCCTCCGACGCTGCCGAGTGCCACGCAGCAGCCAGAGTCTCCACCGGACTGTGGGCGAGAGTGTCAGGAATAGCCCCAAGTTCTGTCTGGAACCTTGACGGCTCCATAAGGCGCCTGGGGCGGAACCACCTGGTTGGTTCCTCCTCCCTACAGTGGGGGTTTGGCCTCCGGAAGTCGAGCCTCAGTAGGCAGTGGTCTGACCACGACAGGGGTATGATGTCGCTCCCCCTCAGACCAAGGTCACAAATCCACTGCTCCGAGAGAAATACAAGGTCAAGCATGTGTCCCGCTGAATGGGTTGGGCCTCTAATTACTTGGGTCAAGCCCATGGCTGTCATGGAGGCCATGAACTCCTGCGCCCCATCAGAGTTTTCACCGAGCGACGGCAAATTGAAGTCCCCCAGGACCATCAACCTAGGGAACTCAATTGCCAGCTCGGCTACCGACTCGAGGAGCGAGGGGAGGGCTGCTGCAACGCTGTTGGGAGGCAGGTACGTTAGCAGCAGACCCACTTGACCCTTGAGGTCCAACTTTAACAGCAAAGACTCACACCCGACAATCTCCGGAGCAGGGACCCTACGAGGAGCTAACGACTCCCGGATGAACTCTATTTTTGGATGTTGGAGAATTGTTGGAAAAAGATGGACACTGTGATGCCTTTCCTATTTGGGAAAGCTGGATTGTGTTCCCTAAAATCAGAGAACGGCAGCCCTGAAAATATCAGAATTTGATCAGAAATGGAGATAGCTTAACTAGAAAGGCTGTGGCCCTTGTGGCTTCTAGACCAGTTTCAGAGTGATGATAGATTGCTGATTTTTTCTTCCATCCAGGAGCTCTCCTATATAAAATATATAATTTCAATTGTATCAAAGAGGGCTGTAGTTACTTGCTTCCCTCCATAGATTCTGTGATGTTGGTAAACCTGCTCAAAACATCACAGCATCCTACTGAGTCTTCAGAGTCACTGAAGAACACTTAAAACTGTTCGCCTCAAGCAGCACCTGGGATTTTGAGGGAAACCATAATGCTGATGCAATGAAAGTTTGCAGGAAGCAGTTTCCTCCAAGTCTGACTTCTACCTTGAAAGATCTCTGGAGAGGAGGAGAGGATGGTGGGGGGAGCAGCATAAGGGAAAGCTGCCCCAACAAGCTAGCATCCTTACCACTCATAATTTGAAACAGGGCTTCCCTTTTGAGAAGGCCCAGCCTCATGCAGGACCAGTGAGTGCTGCTCCCCTGCCATCTTCTCTTACTCTCCAGATATTTGCCAAGGCAGAATTTGGACTCAGAGGAAACTGCTTTCTGCAAACCTTCTCCTCCACGTTTCCACATATATCAGTGGCGACCTCCGCCTCCTTCTTTGCTGGGAGGGTGCATCAGACGGGGGAATGCCAACAGTCTGGGATTGGGAGAAGAATATCTCTTTTGGCGTGCTGTGCACACACACACCCACACATCCACCCACACCCACACACCCCATTCCAAGTTTGGAGATTTTTATCCACATTTGATCTTACAAACTACCAATCATGCCTCGGCTTGGGGAGAAGGCTCTCCTTCCTAAGTGGATAAAAGTCCCCAAATTTGGATTGGGTGTATGTAAGTGCATGCATGCACTTGGCTGCCAGAAGTTTGAGGAAGTAAGCTTGTGGGGCACCAAATTGTCCCCAGATCAAGTTAGCTGGTATGACTTGTTCCGTCCTGAGTTAGCCATGCCCAGTGAGTGGCATTATGCTGGCCACGCCCACCCATTCGGCCATGCCCAGTGAGCTGTGTCAAGCTGGCCATGCCCACCCAGTCATCCCCCCCCCCCCTGAGATCAACCATAGCCCTGATGTGGCCCTCCATGAAGTTTGACACCCCTGCTCTAGAAGGATCAGTGCAGGCCTCATGAGTGTGTGTCTTTGCTCAAGGTCTGAAAATCTTGCTTGTATTTCAGCAGGGAAGATTATCAGTTCATGAATGGAGACTTCCATGGTTTCTCCAAGCCTAGATTCCTTATCTGGGACTCTGTCTGTTTAACAACCAGTGATATTGCTTAATAACAACTGGCATTGCAGGGATTATAGTTTTTAGCTAAACATCATGTGGACTCTTGCTGAATTTTGGCTTTACTCAGTGATTGAGTTTCTGGTTCCAATTGTGGTTCCATTAGTTGAGGACTACTGTAAATAAATTTAATTCCTGACTCTCTTTCAGGAGCTTAAGGTTAATATCGGTAGCTAACAGCTGAAACAATTTAGGATCTTAATATTTCAGAAATCATTCCTTCTATCTTCACAACATTTGCTGAGTGTAGTTAGTTTTGCATACACACTCTTTACGTAATATCCACAACCAAGGGAAATCTAACTATTGTGACTTGGCTTTTCTGCGTATTTAGGTAATTAAAAAATTAACTTAATGTTCATTAAGTAAAATTTGTTTATATTAGTTTACAAAATAGATATAGAATTATTAGCCATTATTTAAAAAGCACAACAAAGTCTAAAGCAGATTTTGAAATAAGTATTTTGTTAAATACCTGAGTTGCATGTCATCTATGCATTTTAAATGCCTACTTTTTTTCTCAGTCAAACGTTGGATAATTTATCTCAAGATGGAGATCATTTGCTCTCTAATTAGAGCAAGAGTCATAACATGATGCCTCTTTTACCCTCCAATATTAGCCATAAAACTTCAAAATTAAATAAAAATAGAAAATGCTCCTTGTTACATGAGATCGCCAAATTTTGTGAGCTTGTGCATGCCTGAATTGTAAATGCATCTATTACAGATAAAGAATAGAGAATATTTGTTGAAAGCAGTGAAGTGTCATGTTTATATGAAGTAATGTTGCTTTTAAAACTGAACTTAACTTCTTTTCTCTAGGCGTTGGCTAGTATAAGTCATATTGCTCATATTACTATAACTTCTAAAACAGCTGATGGAAAATGTGCCTACAGGTAGGTATGTTTAGTATATAAATGTTTATTTATTTATTTATTTTAGGAAATTTATATTGCTACCTAATCACACATGGTGACTTACAGGAATATAAAAACCTCATATATATAAAAATAAAGCTAATAAAAATATAATAACTCCCCACCTTGATGACATCACCCGAGCCATTTAATAGGCTCCATCCCGCTCCGGGTTCCCCAAGTCTGCTGGCAGAACCAGGTCTTCAGTGCCTTCTGGAAGAGTGTTAGAGTGGGGGACATTCTAATCTCTGCCGGAATGATGTTCCAGAGAGGAGCCACCAGGAGAAGGCCCTTTTTCTGAGTCTCACCAGGTGTATTTCCCTGGGGGATAAAACCCACAAGATTCCTTGCCTCCCTGCTCTTGTGGGAGTTGTGAGTCTAGGAGAACCCAAATTATGCACAGGATCTATTGGGGTAATGCCACCCCATTCAAAACCAAAGGTAGCAATTCTCCCTGGACCAAAGAACCCCAAACCCAGAGCTACGCAGTTTTGCTAGGGTTCAGTTTCAATCTGTCGCTCCCCATTCAGCCCATAATAGCTTCCAGGCACTGCAAGAGGGAAGACACTGCATCACTTAACTCACCACGGTCTGAGACATACAACAGTATTATCAGCATTTTGATGATATGTCCATGGTGACGGATGATCTCACTCAACAGAGTCATATAAATGTTGAACAGGAGCGGGTAGAGTACTGAACCCTGCAAAGCTGGGGGCGAGGTCTGATCTCTCCCCTCCTATCAACATTGACTGAGAGTGGCTGCAGAGGAAGGAAGTGAACCAGGATAGCTCAGGGTCTCCCACTCCTATCTTCCGAAGTTATTCCAGATAAATACCATGGTCAATGGTATCAAAAGTTGCCAAGAAGTAGAGCAAGGATGGATGCACTACCCCTATCCCGTTCCTGCCAGAGATCCCCCAAAAGCGCAACCAATGCTGTTTCTGTCCCATATCCAGGCCTAACTCATTACTGGTATAGGTCTAGATAATCAGTTTCATCCAGAAACCTCGAGCTGCCGCACAACCCACCTTCTCAACAACCTTCCCCAAAAAGGGGAATTGGAAATTATCCAACAGGGTGGAATCCAGTGATGGCTTCTTAAGAAGAGGGTGGATGACAGCCTCCTTAAAGTGCTGGGGCACTACCCCCTCCTGTAGAGAAGTATTAATCACCGCCAGAGTCTACCTGCCTATCACGTCCCGGGAAGCTTTCACAAGCCAGGAGGGACATGGATCTAAAATACATGTACTTCCGTGGATACTCCCTAGGATCCTGTCCGCTTTCCCATGAGGAACAGATCAAACCATTCCCAAACAACAGGGCAAGAACCTGCTTTGGGCTTCCATTAGACCAGCAACTATGGTAGCATCATAACTGGGAGAAATGTTGAGTGATTTTGTCAGAAAATCCATGAATTCCTCAGTGTACTCCTTCAGGTGGACCTCAATCTCCTCCTTCCCCAGGAGGAGGCAGCTCACCTTAAAGAGGGTCACTGGGCAATTATCTGCAGATGCAATTAGTGTGGAAAAGTATTTACACTTCGCCGCACAAATCACCACAAGGTAGGCCTCAATAGTGACTCTTACCTGTGTTTGATCGAATTCATCCCTTTTGCCAGCGGTTCTCTAGATGTCTCTTCATCCATTTCATCCCTCTCAGTTCCTCTGTATATTATGGAGGGCAGAGAGGTCTATGGGTGAAGAGAGATTCTATGGGTGCAATCCTATCCGGAGCCTCAATTACCTTCCTATTCCAAATAGTGACTAAGAGATTGGCTGGACTGTGCAGCAGATCTGCAGTTATAACCTTCAGCTCCTTCTGGAACCCATCAGAGTCCACTAATTGATGGGGGCGGACCAATTTAATATGTCCCGCTTTTTTGCGGGGGGTGGGGTGTATAGCTTTTGAAAAACTCATAGCCATCAGAGTGTAATCCGACAATGACTGGGACCAAGGACAAATCCACCAATTTCAGGTCACATAAGCACTGCTCTGACAAGAACATCAAATCGGGTGTGTGACCACTATTCCTAGTCGGGCCCTGGATGACTTGGGAGAGGCCCATGGAAGTTATGGTTTCCATGAAATCTTGGGCTACCTCTTACCTCATCCCCAGAAATGGGAGATTGAAGTCCCACAGAACTATAAGCCAGGGGAACTCCACTGCCAGTCCTGTTCCCAGGAACCTGGGTAGGGAAGCAGGTACAGCTGATCCCACCTGATCCAAACTAAGAAAAAGGGTCTCACAGCTGGGCACTTGTGGAGGACTGCTCCTGGAGGCTGCTGGGATTCTCTGGTCTAGACTGGTGCCATGATTGATAACCCATTGGCACATTTCTAAGAGGGGAACATCTCCCTTTTGTGGGGCCAGTCAGGTTTCAGTTATACAAGCCAGATCGGCCTTCTCTTCAAGGATCAAATTGGCAATAAGGCTAGCTTTATTGCATTGTGCTCTGACATTTAAAAGCAGCAGCCTTAGACTAGGACCACCACAGATCAAGTGACCAGATAAATGAGGTGAGTACAAGGGGGCAGAACACAAGACTGGTACTAAATACCGAGGTTGTCTTTTTCGTGCCTGCCCCCTTCCTTGCCTCCCGTATCTCCCATTACCTGACATCACTGAAATATACTGCCCTCCTCTGCCTTCCCTGAAAAACATTCTCATTACTAACACTCTTCCTTAAACGGTGGGAAACCTCCTCCCACTGACAAATTGTCACCGGCAAGGTGAGCCTTACAGACACTATAGCACTTGCTCTTAGTGTCCTCAAACTCATATCACTCCTTCCTCATTGCTGCAGAGGAGTCACATCCAGCACCCTGTTATCTACCAACACACTCATAATACAGCCACCCAAAGCACAAACAGCACCCTGCCCAGTTGCTCTCACCTGCCAAGCAGGGAGCACCCCCTTTTCCCAGCTTTCACCCAGGGGAGAGGGACCAACACACTTGCCTTTCACTCAACTTTCCCTCCAGTCCCAAATTCCCCAAATAGTCTTCCCAGGCCCAATTACAGAACGTTCAGGAGATTGCAAAAAGTAGTCGAAAGAGTAGCCAGAAGGCCTGCTATGCTGCACTAGATATTGTAGCAGTGGTGTAGTTGTACGATGTGTCCTGAAGTTCACACAGTTCCAAGCTCCCACTCACCAGTTAAACCTCAAAAAATCCCAATGGCAGCTTGTCACATTCCACAGCATTCATGACCACATGAGTAGGCCCAGCTGCCGACAAAGACAAGGGAAGCTTGTTTCTTCTGTCAGCTCTGTCTCCATCATAAGATCCACGCCATCATTCAGCTGCTGGTTCTGGCATGCTCAGACCAAGGTTTAGCTCCAGCTTATTACTGCACCTTGAAGACAGTTCAAAGAGATCTAGGGGAATCCAGGGAAATGTTGCATATGTGTCAGATGTAGTATCACTATAGATTTTTTTATTTAAGTATTTATTTATTTATATATTTGTTAGTTAGTTAATTTGTTTATTTATCACAGTTCTAAAGTTGCCTGTCTGTATAGTTACTTTGGGCTGCTTATAGTATTAAAAACAGTTCAAAGCAACATAGACAAAGAAAAAATTGATGAACATTCAGAGAGAGCAAAAAAATACACAAATTGAAACAGCTTTTAATAAGAGGCAAATCATATTAAACAAAATGAATAAAACAATTTATTAGCAGCACTAATACTACTATTGAAAATCTAGGAGACTCTTGACAAAAAGAACAATGTAAAACAAAGGATTGTAAACGTAACTAATGTGTGCATAGAATGTTAATAGTTGAAAACTAACACAAAAATTACATTGTGACAGATGAATGTTTCTAATACAATGTTTAACAATAGCCTTCTCTCTGCTATAGAAACTCAGTTGAAGAAACCTATTCCTTGTGGGTTATAGGATACAATAAGCCAGTGATGGCTAACTTTTTTTGGCTCGCGTGCCAAAAGGGGGGGCACAGGGGGGGCATTGTGTGGGCATGACACACCCATAATACAATGCCTCCTGAAGGTTCCTGAAGGCTCCAGAGGACTAAAAACGGCCCTACGCACAAACCGGAAGTGACTTCTGGTTTACTTGTAGGGTTGTTTTTTGCTCTCCAGAGACTTCAGGGAAGCCTCCGAAAGGCCCCTGAAGGCTTCGGAGGGCTAAAACTGGCCCTACAAGCAAACCGGAAATCCATTCCCAAACTTCCGGTTTGCCCATAGGGCCANTTCTCTTCGCAGACACAGAAGCTGCAAAGATCAGAAAGGCATTTGCTCGACAAAACTTCTCTCCTTCCCTTCTTGCCCGAAGAGTAAGGTGTCTGTCAGATGTCTGATAGATGATCATCTAAACAGATAACGCGACTGGTAACTCGAGAGCAGCTATGTTTAGCTGCTTCCATCAGTAAGTCCCACCCAGGAAGTCATCCCTCTTGGGAATCTAGAATACATTCCACCACAAGCACAGTAAATAAGATGAACTCCCTTCCTTCCTTCCTTCCTTCCTTACTTACTTACTTACTCACTTACCTGTAGCCATCCAATTCAACCAAGTGACTCTAGTATGCTTACAATTCTAAAATTATAGAACAATCAAAAATAAAGCAATTAAAACATCCAGAAAATATATATAACAGCCAGGATAATTAATCATAGTAAAACCAAGAGACAGTGTCATTAACATATTCAGAGCTGTAGATTTGGGCACATGACCAAGTCCATTCTAATTTCCATTGGGAGATATTCCACAAGATAGAGGCTGTAGCAGATTTCCTGCCAATCAAAATTCATTGTCTGATGAGGTCTGCAGCATTGCCCAATCTGCTGAATCGAATTGTGCTGGTAGGTTCTTGGAAAATGACAGTCCTTCAGATAACCCAGGCCCAAACCAGCCTCTTGAATTGTACCTAGAAACAACTGGCAACTAGTGCAGCACATATAATAATGGTATTACATGTCTAGAGTAGTTAGAATGTCCACATAACTTCATTTT